TGTGAATGCGGGTTTGTATGTGTGGAGATGACAAAGCAATGATGTCTCTCTTCCCATCACGTGTACCCCACTGAATTCAGGTGACTGTGTGGCAAACGCCTTTCCCTGAGGAGCTACCTTGCTTGCCCCAATCAAGCACTTCTATACATAGAAAAAAAATCTTAATATACAAAAACAGCAAGAACTGCTATTTGAGCCTTAATATTTAACACCAATGTCCTCTGCCCTTTTTGTGAGCCAGGTCTTTACTATGTAGCTCGACCGGCCACCCTGACATCTGGAGGATGGGCTCAGCGGGTGGCTGGGGAAGGGAAGTTTAGCCCTGACCGGCCTCTAGGCAGCAATCTATGAATAAACAGTTGGATTTCAACTGGATTTTCCTTTCGTACTCAGTATAATTACTGGAGTCTTACCTTGAGCAGTAAGACAGAGGTGAAGAAACAGAAGGGACACAAACAGGAAAGGAAGAGGCCAAACCTCCCACGTGGGTAGACAACACAGTACTGGAAAAGACCTTCAAAACACACCAGAAGACTCTTAGATCTCTTAACACCCTAAGCTAACTAGTGGGCTACAAATCAGCAGCTTTTCTATACACCAGTAACAAACCACCCTGCCGACAAAAACCAAACACAAAATGGGAGGACGGGATCACAACAGCTTAAAAAAACAAACTTCACCAAGGAGCCCCTACGATGAGTCTCTGAAGGAGAGGGGCTGGAGAGGAGGCTCTAGTTACCAAAAGCACAAACCGTTCTTGCAGAAGTCTCAAGCTGGGTTCTCAGTATCTACATCTGCCTAAAAGACCAGCTCTGGGGGATCCAACAAACACTGCATTCTTGAAGTCACGATACTACCCCAGACTGGGCTCCTCAACGTCTTACTGAGTCATAAAGGCCCACTCGTCCCTGAGGATCCACAGGCCATTGGTGGCTGCTGGGGAAGGGAGAGTGTTTTCTTCCATGGTACAGCCTACTGGTGAGGTGCCCATGCTCCTGTAGACCATATATCACCCTAATAAAACTAATTTCTCCTGCAAACAATACTAATGAAACTTGATGGATTGCACACATACACACAGGATCATCAGGAGTGGGAGGAGGGACAAAGAAGGTAATAGGGAGGTGAATAGAATCAAAATATACATGCCTGAAATATATAAATAAATGAAAACATAACAAACCCATTATGTATGCTTAATATATGATAATAAAATTGGGTCTGGATGGACAGCTCTACAGTTAAAGAGCACTGGCTGCTCTTCCAGAAGAGCCATATCCAATTCCTGGCATCTACAAAGTAGCTCACAACACCTGATACTCCAGGCCCAGAGCATCTGACACCCTCTTCTGGCCTCCATGGGTACTAGGTTCACACACGGTGCACAGACATAAAGAACACTAATACACATTTAAAAAAAAAAAAGAGCTGGGCATTGGTGGCACACACCTTTAATCCCAGCACTCAGGAGGCAGAGCCAGGTGGATCTCTGTGAGTTTGAGGCCAGCCTGGTCTCCAAAGCGAGTTCCAGGAAAGGCGCAAAGCTACACACAAGAAACCCTGTCTCGAAAATCCAAAAAAAAAAAAAAAAAAAAAAAAAAAAGAAAAGAAAGAAAGAAATCAAACACCTGGGGATGTACACCTTTAACCCCAGCACTCAGGAGGCAGAGGTAGGCAGATCTCTGTACCTGGGCTACATAGTGAGACCATATCTAAAGGAAAAAAAAAAAAATCCCATTTTAACCTAGCCAGAATGGCTATCATTAAGGTAACAATTCACAACTGTTAGCAATATATGGGCATGTTCATTCTTTTAACTCAATGTTGCCATCTACAACGTTCCTGCTTATGACCCCCAAAAAGAATTTGCAAAAAGTCTTGTGCTGATTTAATTCCCTTCGTATGTTCAGCTGCAGGCTATACTCATAGTTATCCTGGTGCACACGTGGCTAGGGAGCTGAAGGTTGGACATACTCAATGATGCTCCAAGCTATGCCACTTATGCTCAATACTGTTGCCAGGTACTAGGGCATGCCTGCCACATACAGTATTCATACTAGACCCTGTTCAGTTCTGAAAGACAGGGGATATCAAGTAACCAGCTGGGTTACAAAAGCAAGCAACACTTCAATCTGAGAATCCAACGGAGGAAGCTCAGCGTCACGTCCAGCAATACCTTACTGCTTCTGTCCTATTCAGCCCGACACGTCCTCAGCTCTTTTAGTACCTCTTTCTACTGTCATTAAAAACAAAAATCCTAAGGCCCCACCCTAGACAAAAACCAAACAGATGAGTAAATTTCTGTTGTTCTAAAGTTGTCTGAAAGGAAAGCTACCACCTTTTGTACAATCCTGTTTGGGGTACTTCTTAGGAAAGCATCTCAGCAGTCCCATGTGCAGACAGTTCCTCATCTGGAGTCTGACGCATGTATAAACTACTCGGACAGACAGTGATGTCTTTGCCCACGCTCTCCTGATCCTCTGCAGTTCTTCCCCTTGCGTTCCTTGCTGAGGCATCCTTAAGCCTTACGCGGGGCATCCTTACACAAGCCATCTGCTTTCTCTTTACTCTGTTACCAGCAGGGAGGTGGTGCTGGGACAAGACAGAATGACTGCTCAGCACTGCTGGATGAAGAGAAGTGGTTAAGAACAGAGGCTAACCTATTTCAGATCTTCTGGGCCCAATGGCAATGTGTTCAAAGCATACACTGCAGCCAGCTGGGCTCAACCAGAAAAGGCAACTGTCACCGAGCCTGGTGACCCAACTTTGACCCCTGGTCTACAGGAGGAGTGAAATGAACCCCACAAGTTGTCCTCTGATTTCCACAGGCATGCTGTGGCAGTCTTCTACCCCACATACATAAACGCAAAATAAATAAATAAGAATCTTTTTTTTTTTTTTTTTTGGTTTTTCGAGACAGGGTTTCTCTGTGTAGCTTTGCACCTTTCCTGGAACTCACTCTGTAGACCAGGCTGGCCTCGAACTCACAGAGATCCGCCTGCCTCTGCCTCCCGAGTGCTGGGATTAAAGGCCTGCGCCACCACCGCCCGGCTATTTTTTTTTTTAAGACTGGTAAAACCATGTATTTCCTTGGGCCAGCGAGATGACTTACTGGGTAAAGGCACTTGTTACCAAGCCTGATCATCTGGGACCCACAAGATGGAGAGAATTAACTCGAACAAGTAGTCCTCTGACTTTCTCACATCTGTGTCCCTATACATATAAATAAATGTAAAAAGGGGGGGAAAAACCCTATACCCCTTTATGAAGCAGAATATACTTTAAATAATGTGTAAGGAGCTAGAGAGAGATCTCAGCAGCTAAGAGCACAGGGTTTGATTCCCAGCCCCCACCCCCACCCCCACCCCAATGTTGGCTCACAGCTGTCTGGAACTCTAGCCCTAGGGGAACTGGATACCCTCTTCTGGTCTCTGAGGCATGGCATGTACATGATACATAGATACACACTTAGGCAAAAGATCTACCTGTATTCATAAAAAAATAAAAAAAGAACGTGTGAGACAAGGCTGAATAGGAAGTTAAGCCACCAGATGCCACGGGTGATGCAGAATGCCCGCCCAGCGACTCCAGAGGCTAGGACAGAAGGACTGTGGGCCAGTCTGGCTACAAGGTTGGCCCGACCACAAGATAAAAAGGAAAGGAAAGCTGAGCTCAGCTGGAGAATAAATCCTTGTCTAACATGTGAGGCCCCGGGTTCAACCTCTGTTGTTGACAGTGACAGAGCTCACCCGGAGGCCAGGGCAACGCTGCGGCAGTTGCTAACTGGCCAGGGCATCTGAACCATTGGGCAGCTTAGGAAAAACCAGATTCCCAGGCCCTTGGGGGAAATTCTGACTCAGTAAGTTTGGGACAGATGAGGAATTGCTGTTTTAAATCAGAAGATGAACTGTCTGATGAGGTAAGTTTTGGAAACCTTACAGATTCCTACAGATTTAAAAACAACCTGTAATACTGAATTTTCATCTCTATCCCCAGAGAGACCTACTTATCTAAACTAACCCAAATTATGCAATACCATGTTCCATTTTAGAGTATTCATCTCAAAACAATTCACACTCCTAGACAGGCCAGGCTTTGAAGCTGAAACATAAACACCCACAAACATTCCCAACAGTTTCAGAGCACACAGGCCAAAACACCAGGATAAGTTAGCTCTGTGTTCCAAAAGCATGCTTAGGTTAGAGAAAACAGCTTATCAATCTCACAGCTCTGGCGCAGTGCATTTGGGGCCAAAAGACGTAAGTTTCAAGCCTCCTACCGCTCACTAGCTGTATGCTATCTGCTCATATCCTCTACAGGAAGGTTCTACGCCCCTCAAACTCATGGTTTCCACATTGTAAAATGGGAGTGAAAAGGTGCAGCCCGAGAACTACAAGGAGTGTGTACATATGAGATTGGCACACAGGCACTCAATATACTCACATACCTGATGTGGAAGACGACGAATAATGTGCTACTTCACAATTCCTTATATACTCTCTGGTGCTTCTAAGTTATCAACAAAATGAAGGAATGAACCAAATGGCACACACTTGTAATCCTAGCATTTGGGATACTGAGGTATGAGGGTGGCCTTGAGTCTGGGGTCATCTCAAAACAAAACAAATCACAGGGCCTGGACATCCGAGGTGTGAAGCCCGGCGCTCTCTGACCAGGAATGCACAGGTCAAAACAGCACTCCCACTAACACCGGAACCAAATACACAGCCCACAAGGCCTGCTGGTTTGATGCTGGAGAGAGGTTCCAGGTCCCTATGCCCCTTAGACTGTTCCTGGGGCTTCTGTTTAAACACACCCACTCTTGTCAAGGACAGATAGTACGGATGTATGGGACTGCGTCTTTTCCAACTGGGCTTACAGGTTTGTATGGGATCAGCAACTCAAGTCACCCTACATCATTTTGGCACCTGTCAACTATTTAGATAAATAACCTACATTTGTACCTTCACACCCCAGCCCCACCCCAAAGCCATACAAACCTTGGAGGGTGGAATCTTTGGTGACTGAGTCGTCCCTTCTCCAGCACTTAGGACCTGTTTTTGAGGGGACACAGCTATCATGTGACCCCCTTTCACAGTCACATACTGAGGGAATGCTGATTGGTTGGCAGTTCCTGTGGTGGACACATGAGGGGTTTCCCCAGGTTCCTGTTTGATGATCACCTTGCAACAAACAATGACATGGAGTAAGTTTCCAAGTGGGAAGTAGGAGGAAGGATCTACTGTTAATATTTGAATCTAGTCTCTCTGCAGTGATATTAATGAATGAAACTTGGTACTGCAGAATGCCCCACGAGAAAGGTAAAATAGGCTTTAATAGAGTCCTTAACAGCTATAAAGGGGCCAAACAGGATCTCAGCTGGACCCTGCGCTGCTTCTGTCACTTGTCATAGAAGGCAGCAGGGAGAACAATACAGCCCACGACCTCTAAGTCCCGCTTCACTGTGCTGCGAGGACGTGGGCAGCATTACAGCGGAGGCATTCCTCAGAACTAAGGCCTGCTACAAAAGCGTGGAAAAACACCACAGACTCCAGGGGCAACGCCGCGGCACACACTTACCTTTGTGAAAGCTCCGAGCCCTCCAGTCACAGCTTTGGGGCTTTGCACTTTCGGGTGACTGCCGATTGGGCAAAGAGGCGGCATAGATGCAAATAAAGAGTCCTCCTGCTGTGTGTAAAAAAACAGTGATTATACAATAGGCTAAACAAATTGTCCCAGATATTCCAGCCATTTACTATAGAACAGGATCAACATAGTGGGTCTGGGGCCTTCAGAGTGGAAAACTAACTCAAATCAAATAAAGAGTCCTCCTGCTGTGTGTAAAAACAGGGATTATATAATAGGCTGAAACAAATTATTTCAGATATTCCCACAGCCACTTACATGGAATGCAAACCCACCACACCTCGCAACACCAACAACCAAAGACAAAAGAAAACAAAACCCCACAATGTTGATGGATCTTCCAAGTTCCTGTGCAGTCACGGTGATTCCCTTCAAACAAAAAGTGAGGTACGCAGTCCCACCTGAGTGCCTGTAATATCTCAGCACTCCGGAAGCTGACAAAGGAGGATTGCTAGTTCAAGTCTCGCCTGGACTACTCAGCAAATGTCCTGACAAATGTTAGAGTCCTGCCGAAGCCGTCAGTGTTTGATTCAATATTAAATATTAAGAGATAAACGGTAGAGCTTCAGGGAGCTACTGCAGGAAAACTGCATCTGGATCAGGAAACTATCCAGGATGGCTGTCAACTATCTACGTAAGAAGAATTCCGGGTTGGGTACGCCAGGAAGATTCTCCGAGCCATTCAGACAGGGTCATCTCCGTGGCTTCTGCTTAAGACAGCCATCCTGAGCAAATAGGAGCCAAGTAAGAAGTCAGATCACAGTACAGAAAGGGCAAACTCTGAACTACTGTCTACTCTGAAGAGACTCAGAGTTACTTTTAAATAAATAACTACCAGGCTATTGTGTGCAAAGAAGACAAGGTTTGCTCCTTGTACCACCAGGAAACATGCTGGCAGACAAGCATTTGTGTGTGTGTGTGTGTGTGTGTGTGTGTGTGTGTGTGTGTGTGTGTGTGTGTGTATCCCTTGAAGCTGGAGTTACAAGTCGTTGTGGGCTGCCAGGTAGGTGCTGGGACCTGAACTCAGGTCCTCTGCAAGAGCAGGAAGCGCTCTGAGTAGCTGAGCCATTTCTCCAGCTTCTAAAGAAGTATTTTTAATAAAACTGTCCCCTTCAGAAAATAAGTAAGGCCACCTCATCCCCACACTGAGCTTCCAAATTGATACTGGGAGATCATCTGATGGATGTGCTGAGAACTATCTTTTACACAAGAAGGAACTAAGTGAGGAAATGATCTTCCGAGATCCAACGCTGTCATTGGCTAGTATGCCTTCGGAGTCTGCGCAGTGCAACAAAGCAGGACAAGTTTACCTTGACTGTAGACGTTAAGAAACTACTTCCGTGAATTTTAGGAATAGGGGACCCTGTTCCTTGGGGAACCTGGGAGGCCACTGGGAGCTTGCTTGTAGGACTTCCTGAGAAGCAAGAGAGATTTGAAAATTATGTATCAACAAAATGAAGTTTACAAAATGTAATTTTAAAATCGTTTTCCACCATCCTTCCCTGTTTTCAATTATTTACTTTTCATTTCTAAGGGTTAAAAATTCGAAACTCTAAAAGTCCAAAAACATGCACACACATGCACACACACACACACACACACACACACACACACGCACACACACACTCATCCCTACAAGCTGATCACATGCCCAACCTGGAAAGCTGTAAGAAGCTCGTAAGGACAAAATGAAGAAGCGGAGACATGTGTACAACAGACTCCGCTCCCTGTAGAAGGACAGTACAACACAGGGTATAGATCACTTAACAAGCGGGCCAACATGCACACACTCTAGCGAATGCCAGCTTCTGCTGCACCTGTCTCCAAACACTACCCCTGTGACATTACCCCACAGCCGCACAATGGCCTTTAGTTATCAACAGTAAATATTAAGTTAAGACCTAAAGTGATATTCAGCAAGTTATTTCACCTACCAAATTTGCCTCTTCAGAGTTGTGGCTGATTCTCAAAACTAATATGTTAACTCCAAAGACCAAATATGCTGAAAGCAGTACTTCTCAAGTGAGTTTGATGCGTAAACGACTCTAAAACTGCTAATTCTCACGACAAAATGCCTGTGTGGAAAAGCCTGGGACCCATGGAAATGGGTCCATTCTAACACACGGGAGCAGTGTGGGGTGGGGACCAGCCTGGTTACCTTACCACCATTCATTCTATGTTACTTCTCTTTTCACTATCTCCCTTAGAAGGAGAAGATCACACTTTTAGAGCTTGTGTGTAAACATGGATTAAATGAAGGAAATGGATGCAATGTTAGTAAAAGAGTATTAAAAATGAAAATCAAAACCAGAAACCCTGACAGGCACCAGGCAGCCGTGCTGGACTGCAGGGACAGTGTGGTGACTGCAGAAAAGGCTTCTAATTGAACTAAACATTGAACTTTCATACACAGAGACTCTTCCTCAGAGAAACAGTATGAGGTTCCTTTTAGACACACTTACTTATGGACGGAGGGCTCATGGTAGGATTTTATCATTAATGAAAGATGAATCCTTTAGACGCATGAATACTGCTTACACGTACCTGAACTCTGAGTGGAGGCTCCAATAACCTGTGCAGGTTTATCCACAACAACATGAGGGTTGTTTATACCACAGCTGGCTGTGCCTTGCTTCACATGAACCGGAGTGGAAGTTGGGGTGCGAGGCAAAGGTGACGGACTTGGAGTTGATATTGGAGAACCTATGTTAAGTAAAGAAAGGAGAGAGACGAAGTGCGCATATAATTTAAGTAGAAAGACGACAAAGACAAGGTAACAAGTCAAGAGAGAGAGAAGAGGCACTTTAGGTGCTGGGCTAGGCTGGGCTGCAGGTGTAGCCGAGGCCAGGTCCTGCTGCAGCCGTATACTGTGTACTTGGAACCATGACCAGGATCAGCTAATTGAGCAGGTAATTAGAAACAGATTCTGGGGCTGGAGACATGGCTGAGTGGTTAAGATCATTTGTTGCTCTTCTAGAGGAACTGGGTACATTTCTCAGCACCCACACGGTAGCTTACAACTAACTGCCGGTAGCTTCAGTTCCAGGGGATCTAAAGCTCTCTTCTGGCCTCCAAAGCACCGCTGATATGCGGTTCACAAACATACATGCAGGCAGAACATCCATACACATAAAAACTAAGAAAGAAAACAAGAAATAGATTCTAAGGCCAGGTGTGGTAGCATATGCCGTGATGCCAGCACTCAGATCTTTGAATTTAGAGCTAGCTTGCTCTGTATATTGAGTCCCAGGCCAGTCAGAGACACGTGAGACTCTGTCTCAAAAAAAAAAAGGATATTCTCTGGACCCACCCTTAACCCCTACAGAAAATTAACCTACATTGTAACAAGACCCTCTGGTATGCACACAGAAGTCGAGAGAGCAGGCAAGGTGTGGCAGCCTAAGTCTTAATCACAGCACTCAGGAGTCAGAAGGGTTTCTGTTGAAATGGAGGAAAGAAATCTAGAAAGCTTCTCCCTTCGTCACTGACAGAATTCTCTCCAGTTCTTTCAGTCCTCCGTTTTCCCTGTCTGCTGTGGGAGTCTGAATCTGCTCTGGGTCTGTCCCTAGCAGAGGGCTTCTTTCTCTCTTTTCCTGAACAAAAGCATCACATGGGGAAGGAATGAGGGATTCTTTACAGAAATCTTCAAGTGTGTGTTTGTTTTATGAGACAGGGTTTCTCTGGTCGACCTGGAACTCACTTTGTGGACCAGGCTGGCCTTGAACTCAGAGAGATCTGCCTGCCTCTGGGATTAAAGCGTGTGCCACCAAGCTGGCTAAAATCTTCAAGTTTTATTTTATAAGGGATTAAGTCACTGACTCCAACTGACTCAGAGAACAAACAAACACTATCAAGGAAGATTCGAATTTTTTTTTTTTTTTTTTTTTTTTTTTGGTTTTTTCGAGACAGGGTTTCTCTGTGTAGCTTTGCACCTTTTCCTGGAACTCACTTGGAAGACCAGGCTGGCCTCGAACTCACAGAGATCTGCCTGGCTCTGCCTCCCGAGTGCTGGGATTAAAGGCGTGCGCCACCACCGCCCGGCTAGATTCGAATATTTTGTTCAGCATTTATGGTAGATACTCATTTTACGAGATTGTTTATAACTAGTATTTTGTTTTTGGTAAATGATCATAACAACATGCACACAAACAACATATAAACACACATGCATTACTGGTTCAGAGACATGGAAGAATACTTAATTTAAGATTTCAGTTAGTCATTAGCTTAGGCTGCAAAATTTCAACAATACGGCTACTTAAACAAGGCCTGAAAAAGAACAACAGTTGATCTGCCAACATGGGTGGGGAGAATTGCACAGGGCCTCACCCTAGATGAAGCGCTAGAGGCAATTAAAGACTGCCAAAGTGGGGGGGATTAGTCTTCCCCAGAGATGAGCACCTAAACTGTTCACTAATCTCAAGTGGTCAGCCCAAAAAATATACACACAAGCAACTCTGGACTCGACAGGTTACATTTATATATTTATTTTACACACACACACATGCATACAACAACAATTAAATAATAAAAGGCCATGAGTTTGAAAGGGGAGCATGGACACAGAGAAGGTTTGGAGGGATGAGAGGGAAGACATAATGTAAATATATTTTTTAAAAAATCTGAAAAGCAATGTTTTATACTAACAATGTGGAACTGCTGTATTTTAGTATGATAAATCTCTTAATACCATAGGCTGATATTTATAATATTGCATATTCAAAGACACTAAAATTGGTAAGTGAATAGCTAGATTGAGGAATTTCGTGTTTTGATTTGGAATATATTTTTAATAGGAAAATGTGAAACTTACTTAACAGAGACAGAAATCTCTATCAAGACTATGTCATAGAATCCCAAAGAATATTCTCAAATTTTACTCATATACTGCTAAACATCCTTAATCACCTACCTCAAAGCTGTCACCTATAAATTTCTGTACACCTCAAACCAATTTATACAGCCTACTCCGCAGATAAAATTACAGGTTTGTTACCCACTGTTGACTGTAAAGATTCACATTATATTGTTGCTTAGCTGTCCGTGTACAGCAGCAAATATTCCCATTTTCTTTTTTATTTTTAATTTATACAGAGGAGCTGGAGAGATGGCTGAGCAATTAAAAGCACTGGCTGCTCTTGCAAAAGACCCAGATTCAGATCCCCGTATACACATGGTGTTTCACAATGGCCTGCAACACCAATTCCAGGGGATAAATGCGTTCTCTGGGCCTCCACTGGCATACACATGGTGCACACAAACATGCAGCCAGAACACTCATACACATAAAACAAAATTAATCAGTACAGCCAACCTAAGTATGTTCCCATTAGTCCTTTAGTTAGCATGAATGTGAAACTGTCACTAGGCAAAGGACCTCAGCACAAAGGAAGTCTCAGAATGACTGTTCCTAAGATGAACCATGTGCTAGCATGATTAGAGGAAAGTAAAAGACAATCCAGTTCCACACCAACTCAACCCTTAAACTGAAGTCAAAGGTTCGAACTATTCTACCACTTGTTACTCGGGTTTCTGCAGACTCTGCAAACTCAATTCCAATCTTAACCCCAGCCATAGAGCAGAGCACACTTTGACCAGGAAATAAGTGGACTGTCTCGGGCCTTGTTTCTTCACCCCATTCAGAAATTCCTTCCGCACATATAATGAGCTGGGTTTTTCCTTGTGACAGCTTTGCCAACCGACAGGGTTAACGCTCCTGATACACACGACCATGTGGACGCACCTGAGCTGGGAATGGTGGCTCTCACCTGCAATCTCAGTGTTTGCAAGGCTGAGCCAGGAGGGACACCCTGAGTTCAAAGCCAGCCTGTGCTAGTATACTAAGCTCCAGTCCAGTCTGAGACCCCAAAACAACAACAGAAATATTTTAACACCCAGTGAGCATCACCCACACTGCGTACCTGAGACAATCTTACAGCTCATGGTGATGGGCTGAAAGGACTTTCCAGGTGACTCGGGATTGGGCGCCTGGCTCTGCGGCACGATTTTGCAGCTTGATGCAATGGGCTGGAAGGCAGAATTACCGTGGGAACAAAAGGTCACTTTCTGTGCTGCTGTCACCTTGGTGGGTGTCCTTTCCAACGAAGACGGCAAAGAGTAAAATGTCGCGTGTCTCTCAGCTTCAGGGTTGTCTGGGAATCCTGTTTGAAATTTAATGACAAATGATGAAATCAATTAACTCTGAAACACCATCTAGGTCAATTGCTGGTATAAAATAAATACTGATTATTCCCTTATATATTTTTGGTAGAAAATAAATCCTGTGCTTAGTAAGACATTTACCTTAGGGATGTGATAGCTGATCTTTTTTGACAACCTGACTAGATCTGGAGTCACTAAGACACACCTGTGTATCTGTGGGAATTTCCAGTGTTTAACTGAGAAGACTCACTCTGAATGTGAGTGGTAGCATTCTGTGGTCAGGGATAAGCAGCTGATACAAATGATTAGTTCCAGGAGTTACCATGTACCAGGAGTAGGGTCACTGTGATGAACCTAATACATGGTTCATAGGCCTTTGGGACCAGCATTTAGGAGGGATGTGAAAGAGTTTGGATCTGTGGCTAGTGAAGCTCTGGTAAGCACAGTTTAACAGGCCATTCTGGTGGACTACAAAGACCCAGAATGATGACAGGCATAAATACTGTGTTCACAGGGCTTCAGAGGGGACTAAGGACTCTGTTGAGAACTAGATTAGAAGCCTTTTGTGTTATACTGCAGTAAGCAAACACATACATCCAAAACGAAAACTACCACCAATGAAAAACCCTGGCTGCTTGCTGTCCTTGCCCTGTTGTGTGAGTGAGGTTGAACCTAGGAGACTAAGTGGTTCGGTGGCGGAATCCGTAAGGCAGCACAGCCTTCAGGCCGTTCTATGGCTATCATTCAGTGTTTGACTCAGTTAAAGTTGTAAACAGGGCAAACAGAACAGGCGCTCTCAAGGCAGTGGCCATTACTAAGGAGGCTGACTCCATGAAGGAGCAAGCTCACTCTTGCACCTGGGTGACAGGAATGCAGCCTAGAATACAGGACTCCACCCATGGAGAGCTGAAAGAAAAAACTCACTGCAAAACTCAAGACTTGCAAAGACAACGCCTTGCAGGGCTCCTGCTCAAGGCCACACAGGCTGCTGCAGCTGTGGCCCAGAGATGTCAGGCTATAAACTGGTAGCAAAACCAAGCAGTAGCCACATAGCGCTGATTTTACAACCATGCAAATTCCAAGAGGTATAGGGTCAGGAAACAGGACACAGGGCAAGGATGGCAGGACCCAAGGCTGCTGGAGCCCAGATGACAGACATGGAGCTGCAGGATTTGGTGTTTGCTTTGGTTCAATCTTTCCTTGCTAGGCCATTATTCCTTCCTTTTGGAATGAGAATGTTCCCTTTGTATGGCTGTATACTAGAAGTATACATAACTTCTTTTTTGATTAAACAGGGTCCAGTTAAGAGACTGCCTCGAATTTTACAGGAGACTCTGAATTTGGGCTTTCGAGCAATGTTAGAACTGTTAAAACTTCGGAGATTTATGGGGTTAGAGAGACACTCAAGGGTTATGAGTACTTGCTACTCTTGCAGAAGACCAAAGTTTGGTTCAACACCCACATTGGGCAGCTCACAACTCCTGTTAAGGGGTCTGAAACTGTCTTCCAGTGTTAGCAGGCTCCACGCACACGTGGCACAGACACACACATAAACAAAAATAATCCTAAAAAATACTTTGAGGATGCTTGCATTTTCATTTTGAGATGAGTGTAAGCCTTTGAGTAACAGGGATATAAGGTTATGGTTCAAAGCTCCTGTGTTGGAGCTGGAGAGGAGACTTAGCAGTTACCAGCACTCACTGCTCTTACAGACAACCCAGATTAAGTACCCAGCACTTGCATCCTGGTTCACAATCATCTTTAACTTCTGTTCTAGGGGATCTAATACTTTCTTCTGAACTCTGAGGGGACCAGGCACACATGTGGTGCACATACATACATATACTCATACACATAAAATAAAACAATCTAAAACGGATGCATCTGGGCGTCAAGTTGACCAAGGGTGAACTTCTAAACTTCTATGGTTGGTTCTCATTGTCAGCTTGACTAGATTTGAAATCACCAGGACAAGTATCTAAGGTCATATCTGAGGGGGTTTTCTCTCTGTGTGTGTGTGTGTGTGTGTGTGTGTGTGTGTGTACACAAGTGTGGTTGATGCAGTTACCTTCTTTGGTTGCTTTCCACCTTATTTTTTGAGGAACTCTCTCACTGAAGTGCAGGATTACAAATAACACTGCTGCACTAGCTTTTATATTGGCTAGGCATCTGAATTCAGGTCCTCGTGTTTGCATGGAACACATCTTACCAACCGAGCCAGCTACTCTACCCTCCTCAGAAAGGTTTAACTGAGACGCCACCCCCCACTCCATACGCCAGTTACACAATCTAACAGCCCGGGTTAAGGCTAAACAAAAGGGAAAAGGAGAAGGGCCTGGCATTCCTCCTTTGTGCTTCCCGGTTGGCGTGCACCAAGCTGTTCCCACTGCTATCCTTTTCCTGCTGTGGTGGATTGTATTCCTCTGACCTGTGAACCAAAATCAACTCTACCTCCCGTAAGCCGCTGTTTGTTGGGTAGTTGGTCACAATAATGAGAAAGCAATTAATACAAGGAAATTGGAAAATGCATTAACCATGAGCTACATAATACAAAAGAATTCAAGTCCATTGTCTCATGTTTTATAGTATGAATTTAAAAGCCAGAGGAGAGGAAAAACTAAAAAAACAAAAACAATTCATTTAATGTAATGATATCCATAGAAGATACAATGGAAATCTAAAGAGAAATTAAGTTGAAATTTTATATAAAAACTAAAATAGTATTACAATAAAATAACAGTTTAGAGATAAAATAAACATTTAGAATCAACTACTTATATATAAAAAATAAACATTAATACATTTAGTTTTAGTAAATGATAAAAATGCCACAGTCAAAATACATTAGTTGATGGTGAGTGGCTTTTTTTTTTAACATAGGATTAAATATTTGATATTAAAGTCTCCCAGTCACACAATCAGAATCTGAGCCATAAAGTCTTCAGCAAAGGCTAAAAATATAGGGATGGGAGAGACGGCTCAGCTGTAAAGAGCACTGGCTGCCCAGAGGACCTGGGTTTGATTTCTAGCACCCACATGGTGGCTCACAACCATCTGGAACTCCATCTAGTTCTAGGGGATCTGATGCCCTCTTTTGGCTTCCATGGGCACTGGGTATGCATGTGGTACACAGACATACATACAGCCAAAACACTTACACACATGTTTAAAGAGGATAAAAATCCAATGATTGGGGGCTGGAGAGATGGCTCAGAGGTTAAGAGCACTGGCTGTTCTTCCAGAGGTCCTGAGTTCAATTCCCAGCAACCACATGGTGGCTCACAACCTTCTGTGGTGAGATCTGGTGCCCTCTTCTGGTGTACATACATACATGCACACAAAACAAAAACACACTGTATACATAATAAATAAATAAATCTTTAAAAAAAAAAAAATCCAATGATTTTTGGGGCCTTTTCACCTTTATAAAATATAGAAACTGATGAAACACTTGTTTCCAAGAAGGAGCAGAAGTTTAGCTATTTTCACCTAGAGCTCTGTGCTCGAGGCAGCATGGTCATTTATGGAAACAATGTTTTTCCACTGACTTCAAGCTGCTGAAAGCAGAAATCTGGTGTTACCCACACATGAGAAAAACACCCAGAGAGTGACTCCCGCAAGCAAGAACACTGCATTACCTTCTCCCACAGGGGCAGCAGACGCTGGCTCAGGGGACCATGCCACTGGGGAAGCTTTCACTGGGGCTGGAACGGTCAAAGACGGAGGGGCGTCAGATATGTCTGACTCAGATGACTGAGGATAAATGTGGTCTTCGCCAAGAGAATGCCGATGGAGCTCAACATCCACCACCTACACAGTTGGGCAACAAGGAGGCTTATGAGTCCATCGTCAGTGCTGCAGAGCTCGAGTTCCGTTTCAGAAAACCGTGCCCTAAGGGGTGAATTGCTAACCACATCTCAACAGGCCATTTCAATCTACAGAATGGAGTCCCTACCTTTCCCTTTATCGTTTCTCACATTTTTCCCACCAGCACGTGTCAAATGTCCCCTCTCAGGAAGACCTTTCCTATCCACTGTGACTTAACGTAAGACCCATTCTCCAGCCACCCTTCTTCACAGCACTTATCTGTAGTTGAAATTGTCTTATGCCTCTGTGTTTAGTGGTTACTGTCCATGCTGGTTAGTTTTTGTTAATCTGACACAATCCAGGGTCATTTGGGAAGAAGAACCACAACTGAGAAAATGTCTCCATCAGATTGGCCTGTGGACAAGCCTGCGGAACATTTTCTTGATTAATAATTGATGTGAGAGGGTCCAGCCCAATATGGGCAGTACCACCCCTGGCCTGGTAGTTCTGAGTTACGTAAGAAAACAGGCTGAGCACACTACGGAGAACAAGCCAATTAGCAGCATTCCTCCACAGACGCTGCTTGAATTCCTGCCCTGACTTTCTTCAGTGATGGGCTATGATCTGGGAGCTGTAAGATGAAGTAAGTCCTGCCCTCCTCATGTCATTTTGGTCATGGTCTTTAGCAGAGCAACAGAAAGCAGACTAGACTGCTGTCCTTATGCTCAAAAACATCAAGAATAAAAATTATCTTACTTGGGCAGTGGTGGCGCACGCCTTTAATCCCAGCACTTGGGAGGCAGAGCCAGGTGGATCTCTGTGAGTTTGAGGCCAGCCTGGTCTACAGAGTGAGATCCAGGACAGGCACCAAAACTACACGGAGAAAACCCTGTCTCAAAAAACCAAAAAAAAAAAAAAAAAAAAGAAAAAAAATTCTTACTCATCTCTTTATTCCTAACATTTGGACCAGTGAAGGCACACAGAAGGTACTTAATAAATATCTTCTGGTATCATAAAGTCCACCTCTCTAAACAGTTAAGATTTAGCTGGCTGATCAATTCCTAGCTCTCAACATGTTAGTTAACTACTGTGTGTAAGTCCAGTTCCAAGGGATCCGATGCCCTTTTCTGGCCTTTGTGTGTATTGTACACACAGGGTGCATATACATGAAGGCAAAACACTCACATATACAAATAAAAATTCAAAACTCTTTAGGGGCTGGAAAGATGACTCAGTGGCTTACAGCATGTATTTACTCTTCTAGAGGACCTGAGTTCGATTCCCAGTGCCCATTAACTTCAGCTCCAAGAGCTGAAATCTTCTGGTCCCTTTGGGCACACCCACACCCACGTGGCATACACTCAAATACAAATATATATATATATATATTTATATATATACGATTAAAAGTAAGTCTTCAATAAATAAACAAAAGAACATTTGTCGCTCTTCCAGAGGACCTGGGTTCAGCTCCCAGCACCCACATGGTGACTCACAACTATCCTTAACTCTAGCTCCAAGGAATCTGACATCCTTTCCTGACTTCCGTGGCCACTAGGCACACATGAGGTGGATACACATACATGAAGGTACAACACTCATACAAATAAAAAATAAATAAAAATAAATCTTAAAAAGGGATGGATTCTACAACATGAACGAACCCTGAGGATACTACATAAACTGCAATCAGGCAGTTACAGGAAGCCAGTGCTCTATGATTCTAATCATGTGACAGAGGCAAGTTCACAGACACAAAGAGTCAAGTCGTGGGGTAACTTAATAGGTATGGACTTGTAAGCTGAGAAAAGTTCAGGGGTGATAAACATATTTTCATGTCATTGAGCCATATGCTAAAATGGTTCAGATCTTAAAAGTTTTGTCATGTTTTAAACCACAATTTAAAAAAAAGAAAAAATAATGGGTGGGGTGGCAGCAAAAATCCAACTTAAAAAAAGGCCACAAGATAAGATCCTGTATCACACATGTAAACTGAGCACACACACACACACACACACACACACACACACACACACACACACACACACACACCCTACCTCCCCCTACCTCCCCGGCACCCTCAAACAAGGCTGAGGGAGGTACCTACCGTCTCCGCACCCAGGGTCTGTAAGCCAGTGTAGGTCCTATCCAGCTATTCAAAGACAAAGGGACACATCAGATTTCACTCTGCTCACGAGTCTGACCGAGGTTACAGATTTACCTAACACCACTTCACTGCAACCCGATCCTCAATATTCTGGGGGAAAGTTGAGTAAAGCCAAATTCCCAGCCTTATCTATAATCACAGACCAATAAAGAATGCTTTACGAAACCACACCACATCCAGTTTTAAGGGATTATGTGGCACTAATGTCAGTTTATAAAAGCTGTGTGAAAACATTTCAAATGGCAGGCCACAGAAATGCACATGCAACGCCATGATGCCACTCCACGGTGGGTAGTTACGACGCACGACTGAAAACTATGAATGAAAAGGTAAGCGGCACAGCCAACATGAAATACTTTAGATACAATAGCACCACCAAAGATTTATTTTTAAAGCAAGGAAATATAAACGATGATGTTACTAACAAAAGTTAGTATTATAATTCAATTATAATTACACTGAAATTCTTATTATTGTAGCATTTCAACTTATATCCCCACAATGAAAACATTTTTTTAACACTTTATCAGTACAATACAAACACTGTACAGTAAGACTAAAAGGAAAAACAGTAAGTTGGGAAAAAAAATCAAAAGCTAAACAGGAATAGGTGAGGCTGGATATGGCAGTAAGTGTGGGTGTTAAGGGTTTCTAAGAGACAGGAGTGCAAATTGGGGAGCTGTGTAGTAGCCCACATAGGCGAGGCAACTTGGCCCGCCACATTTTGGTGCTATGGAGATTAAAAACAAAAACACAAGTAATGATGGTGGGAAGTTTCGGGTGTGGCTTCAAGGGGACAACGAGACAGAAGTTTATCAATAAGAGTTACTGATGCCATGGACAGACAGACAGCATGGATGGCGGCTCCGACCATTCCAGCCTGAAACAGACAGCAGCATGGTGGGAGCTCTGGAGAGAGGAACCAGGACCCACGTGGTAGAAGTGACAGCCTTTCCTTTTATCTTCGTGGGGAGGGGAGTGGCTTCCCAGCACAAGTCTGTACCTGGGCTGATTCTAGACTGGAGACAGGGAAGTGGGACAGAACAGACGTAAAGCCACCAACGTGTGCTTTGATAGAAACCCACTTCTCCAGGTGTGAGATCTTGGCGGTCTGCTAGCTAGAGTGACAATGTCTCAGTCGGGTGCCTATGGCACCAGTAGAAGGGAAAGGGGCAGGTTCTGTGGCCTACGCAGCAAAACTGGTCTGTCTGGATCCTGATGTTTACAGCTTTAATATTTCAGCTTTTAGCCAAGACTACAGGGCAACTTGAGGTTACATCCATGTTTCTGTCCACTGGAGACAGAAATAAGTCTCTCTACAATCTGTATTGTTACATTTCAGCTAAGAACCAATCAGGCCACTTTCTCACAGCTAATGACAAATGCCCTACTGAGAATAGGTCTGTGGATCTGTACCAGGCTCCCCAGTGCTGGGGAGGGGGCGGTTTCCAGGGAAGACCAGACTCTGCCCTATTTCCTCAGTGGAGTCTGAGATCAGACTAATATGCAACAAAATAATAAAATCATGCTTCAAGGCAAGTTGCTAAGCAGAAGGGTCTCTGCAGTTAAGACTGTGTACTATTCTTGCAGAGGACCCGAGTTTGATTTCCAGTACCCAGGTTAGGCAGCTCCCAACCACTTATAACTCCAGCTCCAGGGGGATCCAGTGTCTCTGGCTTCCATGGACACCTGCATGAATATGCACCTCTGCACATACATACACATATTTAAAAATAATAAAACCTTGTTAAATGTATTTTACTATCATTTTAAAGTACTGTGTTTTATGATCGATGGGGTGGTATAAACCTTTTATCACAGCACTCGGAGGTAGAGGTAGGCAGTTATTTCTGTGAGTTATAGGCCAGTCTGATCTACATAGTGACAACCTGTTTCAAACATGAACAAACGAAACAACCAAAAAACTGTGTCGCAAATAATCTTCCACTGAGAACTGAAAAAAAAAATGTAATAGGTAAGAACTATGTAAAAAAGCCCTTTATTTGTTGAATTAGGGCTGGGTCCACTCGCAAATGAAACAGCGTGTGCAGTGTCCAAAAGAAGGCAAAGACTGGGCTGGAGAGGCATCTCGATGGTCAGGAGTACTGGCTGCTCCTGCAGAGGACCTGGGGTCTGTTCTCTGCACCCACACGGTGGCCTGCAACTCTCTGTGACTCCTGTTTCAGGGGATCCGATGCCCTCTCTGGTCTCTGTGGACACCAGGCAAGCACGTGGTATATATACATACACGCAAACAAAACACTCATACGTGCAAAATAAAAATGAGTATGTTTAAAAAAAAGCAGAAACTATTCTTTCCCCAAGAAACGGTAAGGGGGGACGCCTGCCCTTCCGGTCCAAGCCCCCTCACGCTCTTAATGCTGTCTTCCATTCTTCTCTAACCTCAAAGAAACAAACAGTGCTGTCTATCCTCAATAGAAGGAAAGTTCCTACAGGTCTCGGGCTGAGAGCGGTCCATGCATACAAAAAAGGTAATGAAAAAGAAAACTCTGCTGATGCATTCAATTTTATTAGTTCCCTTTTGGGAACCACGGATGACTACCACAAAGGAAGGGGGACTTGGGGTAAGAGGAACCTTATTTATTATTTATTTAATTGGTTGATCGATTGGTTTCGAGAGACAGGATTCTCTGTGTAACATTCCTAGCTGTCCTGGAACTCATTCTATAGAGTAGGCTGCTCTACACAGAGATCTGCCTGCCTCTGTCTCCCTAGTGCTACCACACCCAGCTGCTAAGAGGAACTTTAAAAATGATTTGTCTTCCAACTGTAACAGTTACATAAAATTGCCAAAGAAATGTTTAAAGATATAACATTTTGGTATTATTTTCTTTTAACATTTAAAAATCATGGATGATCCTTCTTTTTATATGTGGTGTTAGCTAAGAATTTCTTGCACATGATGGTCAAGTGCTCTACCACTAACATCATAACTCTAAAAATTTTTACTTATTTTTAATTGGTGCTGGGGATTGAATCTAGGGCTTGTACCTGACTCAGCCTTTACTGCATGCTATTTTATGTTCTGCTTTTCATGGACTATAAAGGTAGTTTTCTCCTTGTACAGGAAATATTCAATAAATATGAATTATAATGGCTGTATAATAAGCCACATATGTAGACCAGTGAAGGATATTCAATTCAAAACTATTACAACCTTATTAATTTTTGTCCAAACATGTTCACTCCTCTTAATCTTCATGTATTTTGTGTGATGCTTATATTTGCAGTGTTAGGGATTGAACATCACAAAGTATTTGCCTCACATACAAAAATAAAGTCTAGATTAACAGGGTCTCAAGCATCACATTAACTGAAGTCTTGCTGGGTGGTGGTGGCATGCGCCCTTAATCCCAGCACTCAGGAAGCAGAGGCAGGCGGATCTCTGAGTTCAAGGTCAGCCTTGGTCTACAGAGTGAGTTCCAGGACAGCCAGGGCTACACAGAGAAACCTTGTCTTGATAACACAGGGAGGGAGGGAGGGAGGGAGGGAGGGAGGGAGGGAGGGAGGGAGGGAGGGAGGGAGGAAGGAAGGAAGGGGTGAAGTCTTGTTTCCTCGGAGTTAGTTCACCTCCCCAGCTTTGAGGAGAAAGCGCTGCAGGGGTGAGCATCATATGCTCAGGGATTACCCTGCTTCCACCATCTGCAGCCACGGCCCTCAGGAAATAAACGCTACTACTTTAAGCAGTTAAAGAAAAGAGACACTGTGCTTCCCGGGAGCAATGCTCTGCTACAGTACCTTCAGATTGTGTATGATATCTATCCGCTTGTTCTGGCTGTCCTTAAAGTGAACTTGCACTCTCACGGGAAACTCACCCCAGCCTCTTCTAGTCAGATGAAAAGGGGGCTCTCTAGGGAGAAGCAGAAATTTTACAGATTTACCTGTGTTTACACTCTCATTCCAAAGGAGCTTTTCTAAGAGACAAAACAGAAATTCATGTCTTCCCAACAATCAGCTAGGTTTCTTTGTGAGTTACCAAATCAATGCTGAGTTTCACACACACATGCTAAATAATAAAACTGTAATTCAAGTCTACATTACTAAATGATTCCAGCTAAGAGGTACAGACTGTATGATCCAAAGTCATGTTCTTAAGTGGAACTAGAGTAAAAATGTCACACTACAGAGTCAGAAATCCTGCTTGGCACCTGACAGGCACAGGAGGTGAGATGTACATCCCAAACCAAAATAAATCATAATAATGTTCAATCTAAAAGCGTCATTTAACTATTTAACTGGTGCTAACTGCTAAAAGGACTTCATGAAAAGAAAGCAAGTTGCTCACAATATCATCTTCCCTACACTGCAGCTGTGATTTCAGAATGCAGGAGTGTGTGTTTGAATGCTAACTGGACTAAAGAATATTCAGTCATCACTCGGGAGGCAGAGCCAGGCGGATCTCTGTGAGTTCGAGGCCAGCCTGGGCTACCAAGTGAGTTCCAGGAAAGGCGCAAAGCTACACAGAGAAACCCTGTCTCGAAAAACCAAAAAAAAAGAACATTCAGTCACAATATAATTTATGAAGAAAGGATAAAGGGAAATGAATGGAGGAGGTTGGCAAACTGTTACTAATCACTTTGGGTATATGAAGGTTCATCATACTCGGCTTTTGTGTATGTGTAAAATTTTCCATAATAAAAAAATTCAGAAAATTAATTGAGAGATCTTGAAGTATTCAGGCTATATAGCTTAAGTTAACAGGCAGGAAAACTGAAAATGTCTGTGAATCTTTGAGTTAGAATTAGTGTGCTGAGATTGGGCAGGAAAAGGAACATCCCTGGAATGTGTTTTTGGAAAACTGAGACATGAATTAGGTCAGTTAGGTCAGAGTCTCAGAACACAGCCTGAGAGGAGCCTAACATGGGAATTAACAAGCAGATCCAGATTAACTGAGTCTGAGACAGGAAATATTCTGAATTTAAGAGCAGCCTGCAAAGTAGAGAAAATAACTGATAATAATACAGTGAGGTCAGTTACTCTGAGTCAGAGTAACTCCACTTTATATGTAGCTGCTCCCTGTGCTGGACTACAGCAAAACCAGCCATCCACTAGGCTTGGATGGTGTTTGCCAAAACCAGCAGTACCTCTACAGGGAAAGCTGGCGTACACACAGACAACGCTCTGAGCCTGGTTTTGTCTCCGCCTTACATCTATTCTCTCAGCTGCAGTCACCTCCACAGGTTTAATCCTAGGCACTACAGGTTTACAGTCATTCCGTTGAAACATATCAATGACCAGGGAAAAGTCACAAGCAGTGGCCAGCTAGTCTTTCAGTCACTTCTAGTGACTCAGGACACACTCTTACTGAAGGTTTCAGCTGGGTATGGCTCATACCTGTAAATGACGCACTGGGGAGGCAGAGGATTGTGAGTTCAATGCCAGCTAGGTCTATTTGCTGCATTAAAGTTCAAGATATAGAATCACAAAGAATAAATAAATCATTCCTCTACATGGAAGACCTTCCAAAGAACTAAAATGTTTATCCAAGCTCTTCCCAGGGTGGACATTTCTGATTTTCATGGAGATAGTGGCAAACGTTCAGAGTATTTCCGTAACACAAATGCTGCTCTAAACCTTTTGGATCTATTAAGTTAGCCAATGTTTACAACCTCACCAAGCGCCATCTAGAGGCACAGTTCAACTGCATTACTAACTTGCAAGGCCACACAGCAGCAAGCAGCAAAACCAGGACTCAAACTCAAGCCCTAAGCTACAGATCCCATGTTCTCACCACGGCGCTAGAGCAGGTGCCCATGGTGGCTGACGTCACTACCTAGTCCTCCTCCAATGCACAAGAACACAGCACACTGCTGTCAGGCTGGGGCCACACTAGCCCACTTTAGTCTCACATGCACAAGGCTAGGGGCAGTCCATGTAACTCCCCAGAGGCAGAGACAGTGAGCATTTTTTGTCATCTCTGCACCAAGTCCAGAGTCCAGCACACACTTAGTGACTGGCTGATGAGTAACGTTTACTATCACAGCTCTTAGGAAGTCGGCCAAGGTAATCATGACAAGTAAACCAAGTATGAAAAAGATGGTTTCTATAGAAGAAAATACCTGTATTCGTCATCAGGTAATGTACGATGATGAGGAGATTCAGTGATCATGAGAAATATATTTGTGTTTTGATTTAAAAAAAAAATTAAAGTTCCCCAGGAGCTGCATCAAATTTTATCAATTAATATACATCAAGGTAATCCTGAAATCAGGCACCATCAAGCTTGGAGGTCCCTTAGAGAACATACTAAGTTCAAAACACAGGCTAATTCTTTTTACCCTGCTTTACACAATACCATATCCGGAATGGTATGTTAGGTCTCAGAAGAATATTTTAAGAGGATACAGGCCGGGCGGTGGTGGCGCACGCCTTTAATCCCAGCACTCGGGAGGCAGAGGCAGGCGGATCTCTGTGTGTTCGAGGCCAGCCTGGGCTACCAAGTGAGTTCCAGGAAAGGCGCAAAGCTACACAGAGAAACCCTGTCTCGAAAAACCAAAAAAAAAAAAAAGAGGATACAGATATGCTGGAGTGTGTCAGGGCCACAGCCTAGTGACAGGAGCACAACACAGTCGAATAAATGACAGCTAGGCTGAAGTGTGTCAGGGCCACAGCCTAGTGACAGGGGGCACAACAGTTGTACAAATGACAGCTAGGCTGGAGTGTGTCAGGAACCAGTCTAGTGACGGGGGCACAACACAGTCGTACAAATGATATCTGAAATAAGTGTATCCTGGAGGTCACAGAAGAGACTCACGAGCCTCTCTCGAATATCTGAAATCTGCTAGAGAAGAAGCATAGAGAAGAAGAACGTACTTTTCAGCAGTGGGAAGTGCACACCTGCAGTGCCAGCACTGGGAGGTTGAGACAAGAGGACTGCTTCCCATGAGAGGCCAATCTGGTCTACATAGTAAGACCCTGTCTCAACCCTACGCCCTGAAGAAAGAACTCATGGAAATTTAGGTTTCTACTCAGTGTAATTTAAAAATTCCAGGCAAGCAGAGTTACTTACAATGGAACGGCCCACCCCGTTACGACCTCAGTAACTCATTCTGCATCCAACATGAACGGAGTATTGACTAGTTCTCAGAATCGTGTCAGACTCTGGGCGTGCTACTATTAGTAAGAGGTCCCAAACATCAAGGAGCTCCAAGTCAAGCCTGGGTGGTCTTCAATTCCAGCACGGCAGAGGCAGAGAGGCAGAGAGGCAGAGAGGCAGAGAGGCAGAGAGGCAGAGAGGCAGAGAGGCAGAGAGGCAGAGAGGCAGAGAGGCAGAGAGGCAGAGAGGCAGAGAGGCAGAGAGGCAGAGAGGCAGAGAGGCAGAGAGGCAGAGAGGCAGAGAGGCAGAGGCAGAGGCAGAGGCAGAGGCAGAGGCAGGTGGATCTCTGAGTTCTAGGCCAGTTACAGCCACACAGTGAATCTATGTCCCGGGGCTCTGACGGGGCTCTGTGGGTACGGTGCTTGCTCGGCATGCATGAAAGCCCGGGCTTGAGCCCCAGCACCACACAGACCAGGCACGGCAATGCAGCCTGTCACCTCAGCAGTTGGGAGAGAGAAGCAAGTGGATCATAAAACACTATCTAAAATAATAGGGGGAAAAAAAAGGATGAAAGCTCAAATTCTAATAAGGAAGACATGCATGTAAATTATAAGTGTCATAACCAACTTGTATACATCGCTTGCTGAAAAACAGAGGTAAAACTAATGAGAGCAAATGATTTCTCCAGTATTTTATTTTTGAGACAGGGTTTCTATATAGCTCTGGTCGTCCTACCACTTGCTCTGTAGACCAGGCTGGCCTCAACTCAAGAGATCTACCTGCCTCTGCCTCTTGAATGCTAGGATTAAAGGTGTGTGCCACCATAACCAGCAAATAAAATGATTTTTTAAATCACCAATTTTTAGTTAATAAAGGAAGACTTGCTTTAGGAAAAGCTACCTAGATAGATGTTTCACAGTGCCCTTCTAGGTATAGTCAAAATGACAGGGATCAGACTACACACCACTGCCAGTGTCTGCTTCAGTAACAAAACCTTAAATTGCACAAAACAGAGTCTGTTTACTTTTAACAAGACACTTCAGAAGTACACAGTAGGATTTCTGTGAAAGTGAGTTTGGTGAGATTCTTCCCTTGGACCATTACCTCCTGCCCAGTGACTGCAACTTCTCATGATCAGATCATCTGAGATCTCTCAGTAAATACAATATTGCATATTATGGCATTTTTAAATCGCAATGTGTAGGGAAGTAGCATTTTGTAAATTCCAAGTATTATCAATGCCCAATGAGTGAATGGAGAAATAAAGCAGTCATTGTTTTGCATATCGGATATTAAGAACTTTGTGTAAAGAATTTGCAATCTATTTACTTTAGTAAATTAGAAGTTTATCAATAAGAAATGATTACCATGTTGGACCCACTCACATTACTCCTATAAACTAATGTTGTGTACTGTGGGATGTTCTGTGTGTTAAATGTGTTGCTCTGATTGGTTAATAAATAAAACACTGATTGGCCAGTAGCCAGGCAGGAAGTATAGGCGGGACAAGCAGAGATGAGAATTCTGGGAAGTGGAAGGCTGAGGCAGAGAGATGTTGCCAGCCGCCGCCATGACAAGCAACATGTAAAAGATGCTGGTAAACCACAAGCCATGTGGCAACTTACAGATTAATAGAAATGGGTTAATTTAAGATATAAGAATTAAATAACAAGAAGTCTGCTACGGCCATACAGTTTGTAAGTAATATAAGTCTCTGTATGTTTACACGGTTGGGTCTGAGCAGCTGTAGGACTGGCGGGTGGGCCAGGCAGGACTGGAGAACTCCAGCTACAGTTGTGTGTGCCACAGGGAAA